ATCACATCATCAAAACAGAGAAGAAAGCTTACACACTCTGTACAGAGGACAAAGTTTTAAAATGATTAAACGACCTAATGAAAGACATTTATGACGAAATTTAGAATGATTGACTCGGTGATTATTTCCCCACCAATGTTAGCATGAATAGAGATCAGTGGAATGAAGAGATGACAGTGAGGCTCTTGTTTAAATGCTGTGAGTGACTTTTACCTCAAGTGATGAGACTGAGACTGATGTGGATGATGTTGATAACTAATTTCCTAAGATTTGAAAACTTGAAATTTGGCACTAATGTTCTTTTCCCTAAGTATATCATGTCATGTCAACATAGAGGTAGACAGGCATTTTTCAGTGGAACTGGAATAAAATCTGCAATATGTGCAAATAAGGCACTATATTCCATTCAGGAGTTCAACTCAACTTCAAGCCTGTAGTTTTCAAAACTATATACACTCACAGAGCATTTTATTATGAACACCTATACACTTACTATTCATGCAATTGTCTAAACAGCCAATTGTGTGGCAGCAGTGCAATGCATAAAATCATGCAGATATGGGCCAGCAGCTTCGGTTAATGTTCACATCAAACATCAGAATGGGGAAAAAATGTGATCTCAGTGATTTTGACCGTGGCATCATGATTGTTGGTGCCAGATGGGCTGGTCTGAGTATTTCTATAACTGCTGATCTCCTGGGATTTTCATGCACAACAGTCACTAGGGAATGGTGCAATAAAGAAAAAACATCTAGCGAGCGGCAGTTCTGCGGATACGCCTTGTTGATGAGAGAGGTCAATGGAGAATGGCCAGACTGGTTCAAGCTGAAAGAAAGGCTACAGAAACTCAGATAACCACTCTGTATAATTGAGGTGAGCAGAGAGGCATCTCAGAATGCCCAACACAACAAACCTTAAAGCGGATGGGCTACAACAGCAGAAGACCACATTGGGGTCCACTTCTGTCAGCCAGGAACAGAAAGCTGAGGCTGCAGTGGGCAGAGACTCACCAAACCTGGACAGTTGAAGACTGGAAAGTAGTCTGGTCTGATGAATCTGATTTCTGCTGAGGCACACAGATGGTGGGGTCAGAATTTGGTGCCAGCAGCATGAATCCATGGACCCAACCTGCCTTGTGTCAACAGTCCACGCTGGTGGAGGTAGTGTAATGGTGTGGGGAATGTTTTCTTGGCACACTTTGGGCCTGTTAATACCAATCAGTCATTGCTTAAATGTTACAGCCTATTTGAGTATCATTGCTGACCATGTGCATCCCTTCATGGCCACAATTTACCCATCTTCTAATGGATACTTCCAGTATGATAATGCACCATGTCACAAAGCAAAAGTCATCTCAAACTGGTTTCATGAACATGACATTCAGTTCAGTGTTCTTCAGTGGCCTTCCCAGTCACCGGATATGAATCCAATAGAACACCTTTTGGATGTGGTAGAACGGGAGATTCACAGCATGAAAGTGCACCTGAAAAGTCTGCAGGAATTGCGTGATGCAATCATGTCAGCATGGACCAGAATCTCAAAGGAATGTTTCCAACATCTTGTGGAATCCATGCCACCAAGAATTGAGGCTGTTTGGAGAGCAGAGGGAGGCCTTACCCAGTACTAGTATAGTGTTTCTAATAAAGGGTTCAGTAAGGGTATGTTAGAAAATGTCAAAACTGTGAAAAGTTTTCTCAGGCTACCACAACAATTACTCTGAGATCAGGAAAAACACTGATATAGACAAAAGATTTTAATCTCATATTTTGAGCTTTGTTTGATATTTGTGTTACATGTTAAGAACAAAGGAAAGCTTAACCCATTTTCTTTATCTGAACTGTAACTAAGAGATGATAGCAAGATCACATCGAGCAGAGAACTCCAAGTAGTTTGAATTATTTTTCTTTTAAGACAAAACTAATACATATTATCAAATACATAATTATAAATGATAGTCAACATTGTTATAAATCCTGGTGCTATATTTACACGGGACCACCACGAAAATATCCTGACTTTTGTCCTTTTTTTTTTTTTTTGCAGATCGCAGTCCTAAGGCAAATGCATTCTGCATACCAGCAGGGAATTTAGTCTTTGTCCATATTCATACTATTCTGTTGAAACACGTTCAATTGCAACTGTTCAGAAACCCCAGGCTTTGTTTTCTTGGCATGTAATAAAAGAAACAACTCGCCGGCATTCAAGCACAAAATAGGAACATAAGTTATCTAATGCAAACCAGAGTAGCTGGCTGATAGCAATTTGGCATGAATATGTGATAACTTCATTTTTTTTTAACGAATGGATCTGTCTGACTCTGCCAGACACACACTGCATGCACACTGGAAAATGCACTTTAAATGATTTAAATAGAAACTGAAGTGCCTGTTTTCAAATCTTTAGTGTGTGGTGGTGGCCTCTGATCCAACAGCTCAAGGATATGAAAGGAATAGTTCACTCTAAACATGCCATCGATGATAATCATGACTGAAAGCTACAATCATGCAACTGAAACCTGTCAATTCTGCCTCGTGGTAACAATTCATATTATCCTGTTTCTTTAATCCTCAGAGGAACAAGACATTTTTGACAAAAGTCCTTCATCCATTGTACAGAAACATTGGGTACCAAGATGGAATTATTACTGAATTGCACTGGATTCTTCTTGCTGCTACTTATGATTGTGTTTATCGCATCTAAATTCCATGGTTCTTCTGTCTAGCTTTGCACAATGATGGCTCATAATTTGTCCTCATATTTAGAGATGAACAATTGAGTAGGCTGGGTACCCAGGACAAGAAGACTAAGCATCAGGGTTCTTCATTTTTTTTTTTTTCATAGTTGCCTGGCAGACATGGAGGCTCAGTAGGCTACTCATTATTGAATAATGACTACAGCCAAGTCATCCCCTATGTAGTAATTTATATACTCAATTATGTCTGTATTAATGCACTCTACTAGCAAACTAGTCGCTCTTTTAGGCTCTCTAGCCAATGCCCCACCATCTCATTCTCTCACCTTCACTACACACCAGTGTTCCAGCTCCACGAGCAAGTGAAGTCAACAGCCTCACTCTCTCTTCTGTAGTGCACATCAGCTCGAGAGCCACCCGCCGTGAGAACTTAGCATGCCTCAAAAGCAAGCCAGGGTCGCTCCATAGCAATCCGTGCTGACCCCTTTTAAATAAAAAAAGGCCCTATTCGGCTGTGCTAAAGGTTCTGGCGGCAGATTACGCGCTGACCTTTTTAAACCGTTTGCAATCAGTGAGCTGGCAACCAGGTGCCACACTGCGCTTGTCCTTTCCAAACAAGAGCAAAAGGGCAAGCTGCATTCTGGTTAACTTGGTGGGGTAGAGGTGGTCATTGAGTGAAATGTCCTCTGCCATTCAAAAACAATTTCTGCTCCACCAGAACATATTAATTCCAAGGGTGTTGTGTATTATAGATTGGCTGTTGAGCCAGTGAGAATGCTAACTCCAGCTGCTGCTTTATAAATCACCATTCCCAGCAATTTATCACTTCGACAAAGCAATTTTGACACCTTTCGACTAAAGGAAGGTGTTAGATTATCATGTCTGGGGGGGCGGTGCAATCAATTAGAAAAACGTCCGGGAGAGATATAAGAGAAGATTAGGTTTGTGAAAATGGAAGATGAAATGGTCTGTGAGTAAAAAAAAAGTACCAAAAGCACTCAGAGCAGATAAATATCTCCATTTTAAAGCTTGAGGAGTCAAATTCTTGCACTCAAGTGTTCAGCTCATTTGCATACACAGCAGTCTTTTAGATGTTTACTAATCAAGCTGTAGAGCAGCCTATAAATCCTTATGAATATTTTATAAGCAGCCCTTGTCCTACCAATGAAAAAGAGTGCACAGGAAATCATCTGTGATTTAGCAATACATGGATTAAAGTAGGAGAAGCCATTAAGATGATTAATCGGTACTATGCCCCTGATTCGCTTTTGTTCTCTTTAGGCTCTTGTAGGGGTGTCAGCTCATCAAAGTCATCGAAGACAAACAATCCTCATTCCGATCAACGTGAAGAAATAAACAACAGTGCACAGCAAAGGATATCATAGTACATGCCATAAAACATTATGTACATAAATAAAAGGATTATATGGCAGTCGAAAAGCCATTATCTAGACCACAATTACGGCTAAACAATATGGTGTTGAATATGGTGTATGCTTGCATTTTAAAAATACAGGTTGGAGGTGGGGGTGTGCTTAGCTCAGAGCTCTTGTGATCTCATGGTAACACCAGAATAAAAAGTTGTATTGCAATTAATGAGCAGAAAACAACTTTACTCCGGGTTTACTCTGTTAATAATGTATCAAGGCTTTATCCACCAAAAAGTTAACAATCATTAAAACAGTTAATCTGGTAAATAAGTTAATAAATTACAAAATGACACACACACACACTCACTCAACCACTGATTCACTGATTCACTGATTCATTGATTCGTTCAACTACAGTAACCACTTTATTCAGGTCAGGGTCGCAGTCTCTTTTGTTCACATGTCCTTTCTATAACCTTAATCACTACATCAGTAGTTCGCTTATTTAGGTCTACCTGCTTGTTAACACAAACAGCAAATCAAATAAATAAATAGCAAATCACCCAAATGAGTATATGCCAGACAAAACAAATGCTTCCAACTTGGCCCGTGTCAGAGGCAGGAAAGCGTTCAGTTACGTCTGATTGTTTCTTTGTTTTGTTTGTTTGTATACAACACTGTCTGCTGAGACACTTCCATCTAGACAGTTTTTGTGAACAAGATAGAATTTTATTTCTTAAGCTGGATTTAGACTGTGCAATTTCACTGGTCTTTTACGATTATTACTTGTCACGCTGTATGACATGATACCAATAAAATCTTGACCAAATTCTATATCAGACTGTATGATAACGTGTTCTCCATGTTAGATTATATGATGAAGATCCTCATAGGATAGACCTGAGATTAAAGAAAATTACTAGGTCCTGTTGGTTGGGTCCCTGGAGGCCTAGTGGTTAGGGCACAGAGCTCTTACCGCTGGGGCCCAGGATTGATTCTTAGCCAGGGACCCAACCCACACGTCAGTGCACTCCCAGTGCCTGTCCCAAGCCCGGATAAAATTGGGGAGGGGTGCGTCAGGAAGGTCATCCTGTGTAAAAACTGTGCCAAATCAAATATATGCGGACCAGCGATCCACTTTGGCAACCTCTAATAGGAGCAGCTGAAGGAAGAAGAATAACATCTAGGTTCTGTTGGTCATCAAGCATCATGATACAAGCTTTGAATGTGTCCATCTAGCCCATTGAACATTGAGGGGCTAACAAATATTAAAGTATGTTAGTCTGCTTAATTGTGTAGCCTGCTTAAATGTACTGAGCAGCTATGTTATGTGTAATTATTTTGATCTAGGATTTTATTTCTGAAGAGAAACAGCACCAGCGATCAGTCAGCTCTGAATATACTGGCAATGTTGTGACGTTGCTTCTCGTGAAGCTTGTTTCAAACTGTTCACTGGCAGGTATATTTCTAGTTATCAAAGCACTGCCTTTTAAGATACTGACTCATGAGACAGTATGACCTCGAGGCAGCTTCCTTCTATTTCAGACACAGCTAATATATAAAGAAAAAGGTGCCCAAATTCAGTCATGGATGGATGGAGTTACAGCACAGTTGGGTGATTTCCCTGGTTTCCCAGGTTGAATATGTGCATTAAAACAGAAAAATCGTTGCTGGACTCCAACGCAGGCTCTAACTGGCATTGAGCTGATATAAAGAAAGCAGTCATGGTCAACAGGTTTAGCTGTTGCCATGTAAGCCTTTTTAATCAGCAATATAATCCACCCTGACTGCAGGATTTTCACACACTAGAATATCCAGAGGAAAAAAAAAAATCCATCAGATGACAGTTTCGTAGATGCGCCATGTGAATGAGAAAGGTTAGAGAATGACCCGATCTATTTAAGCTAACAGAAAGGTCACATGCTCACAAACACTCCATTGCAATAGTGTTTAGAGGAGCATTTCTGAACATACGCTGAACTTTCGAGTGAATAGGTTACAGCAATATAACACAATGGTAGATAAGGACAGGAAGATAAGGTCATGTGTTGGAATAATATGGTAATTGGAATATTGATTTTTGCTGTGACATCTTGACAGGCTGTGAGATAGCAGGATCAGAGTTTGATGGTAACAGCATAAATCCTTGGATTCATCCTGCCTCATGTTGGTGGTGTTAGCAGGCTCTGATGATTGCAAATGTATTTGCAGAAGAATCTGCTTTAACTAATGTGAAAATTTAAACCTAAGCTCAAAAAATTTCATTTTTTCCCCCTTAAAACTTGGTCACACCTTTACGCACAGTGATAACAGCACCAAGTAAGGATGCCAACAGTGTTTGAAGGTTCTGTCAGTTTTCGAGTTTTAGACTCTTCTAGAGTTTGTGGTGCTGATTTTCAGTTTTCCACACATTTGGCCCCATCTACTGAGCATGCGACATACAGACGATGTCCCATTTGTGTCCAAACCAGGTATGTCCATGTAGGCTCCCTGTTGGATGTGCAAGTTTGACTGGGTTTAGCCCAGCATTGCAAATTCTGCCAGATATTACATAAAATTCTTATGGTTGATGAATAAGTATTCAGGTAATTAATTATTGTTTTTCAAATATATTACTTATTCTTACCAACTGATATGAATATAAGCAGGACCTACTTCAAACATCTAAATTAGACCTTACAATGACCAACCAACTAAATGCACTATTTTTTAAAAACTGCTTACACAGCTGACAAAAAAATAAACTCTGCTTACTGGTGCAACTTTATATCTTTATAAAATGTTCTGTATTTTGATTAGTTTTACTAGTATTACTAGTTTAAAATAGCCTATGCTGATTTTAATTGCTTTTTTTTTTTTTTACTCAAGCCTTGCCTTCAAGCACTGGTACATTTTTTTTTTTTTTGGTTAGTCTGAGGTGTCATGCATTAATCATACATTTTTTTTTTATCCAATTATGTATTCAGGTGCCTAAAGTGGAGCCTGTCAAGAACAACCTTCAGTTGCTTCAGCTACATTTGGGAAACAGCAGGCAAGGTAAGCATTGGTGTTTTTTTTTACTGCATTTTGATGATTTTTTTAGCATTAGTTGTGGTGTTTAATTATTAAAATATTTAGTCCGAGAAGTATTATGCGAGTCTTTTTAACTAGTAAGCCACCTGCGTCTGCCTTAAGCTAGCCTGAGTGTGAAGGAGAGATTTCAAACAACTGCCATTTTGTGCAGTCTGGAGATTCAGTCTAAAATTGTGTGTATTGATAATAGACAGATTCACAAGGATAAATTGTGTTTTTCATTGATAACAGTTTTAAATATTGTCTTTTTTAGGCAAAATCATCTGTATCAGAGTTAGCTGCCTAGTAGAGGAGCCAAATGAATAGTGATAGGGCTGCAGATAGGGCTGCAGCGTTAACCACTGTATGTAAAGCAAGACAGAAAAAATGCTTCCACATCCATTGATTTTTACATAATTACAACTTTACATCTACAGTAATGAGATGGGAGAAGCAGGTGGACGAGAACACCATCCAGCGTCTGGCTGTAGAGCATTTGAAACATGCACCAGGAAGAAGAGATGGAGGTCTGAACGGACACTGAATGTGACATGCACATTGTATGCTTCACTAAACAGCTGAAATGGAGAATGCTGTCCTGTCATAATTCATAGTCCATAGCTTTATGATAGATATGAAGAACTGGTATTAAAACTGTTTTAATAGCTGATTTTGCTCATAAGTAAAAATTCAGTTTAAATTTCAGTTCAAATGTATGTATTTGTACAGCACCTTTAAAAACAGACACTGTCACAAAGCACCTTTACAGAAGGCCCCTAGAGAGCAAAAAAGGACAGAGGCAAGGACAAACTCACATGCCATGAGGAAGAAACCAGGCAACCACTGAATGTACATACTGTATTTGGATGTTGGACTGACGTTCTGAAGTTGATGTCCTAAAAACTTTCATTCAGGCTCCACCAGCAACGTTCCATAGACAGACTTAATAGAGGTCTTTTAGCTGTCACTGGCACTTGTGACTGCTCAGTGGGTATGTACCCTACAGTATGGACCTGTCAGTATTCTGCTTAGGCTTGAAACAACAAAAGTAGAAAATGGTATCTTAGAGTCTGGCAACAAACACTATATGGCCAAAAGCGTGTGGACAACTAACCGTCACACGCAGATGTGGGTCTTCCCCAAACTATTGCCACAAAGTTGGAAGCACACAATTGCATATACAATTTCCCTTCACTGGAACTAAGCGGCTCAAACAAACATGCTCCAGCATGACAATGCCCCTGTGCAACAGTTTCTTCCCCCATGCCATCAGACTCCTCAATACTCAGAAACTGGACTGAAGAACACACACACACACACACACACACACACAACTGTGCATCCTCCATCCTCTTTGCAATTTTTTTGCACATTACATTATGCTGCTACAAATATTTTATTATACTGTACATAGGCTGCTACTTCTTATGTTTACACCTATTTCAGCAACTTATATTGTACTCTTTGCACTATTGTCACTGGATTCACTTTCTAATAGAACTGTGTACTGGTCGGCGATGCACTGGGACTTACTGTGCCCATTGTCTATCCCAGTAGTCATTGTACTGTCTTGTGCTGTCTGCACATGTTTGCACTTGTGCACTTTATGTATAAATTTATGTAGTCCCTTGTAGTTCTGTGTTGTTCTGTGTTTGTCTTATGTAGCACCTTGGTCCTGGAGAAACGTTGTTTCTTTTCACTATGTACTAACTGGCTGTATATGGTTGAAATGACAATAAACTCCACTTGACTTGACTGTGCACAAAGCATCCACGAAGACATGGTTTAACAAGACTGGAGTGGCAGAACTCGAGTGTCCTGCACAGAACCCTGACCTCAATCCCACTGAATCCCTCTGGGATGAACTGGAATGCTGACTGCACCCCAGGCCTGAGTGACTCACCTTACAGTGAGTAAAGTTTTACTGACCTGAGTGTTAATTAGAAAATGTCTTTTGATGGATAACTATACACTATGCTTCATTTAAGTTTTTGTTTGGTATTTTGGAGCTGGTTTTAAAGTAACATCTGGTTACTTTTGGCAGATTTGGCAACCCTTCTACTAATGATAGATGCAATCACAAGTGGTCACTACAGATGTAGTGTCCCAACACTAAGAAAGTATATTTTCAATCTAGATTAGCAGTAAACCTGCCTCAGCTGTGAGAAGTGCTAGTGATGGGCTATACTGCTTCAGGAGATCAGAGAGATACACTGGACGAGAGATACGAAACTGCTCAGAGCTTCATGAGCAGAACCTAATAGGCAGTGTAGCTTGAGTAAGAGTGTGATAATGTGCTCTGATGTACTTTCCTTTCTTGTCATGGGCTGCTGTGTTTTGAACTAGCTCAAGATTCCTTAAAAGAAGCAGGGTAACCAGCCAGCATCACGTTAGTCCAATCTAGATGTAAGGAAAGCATGTACACATTTGTTAATGCAGTGTTAGCATATTTCTAATTTTGGCTATGTTTCAGATGATAATAAGCAGTTTTAGAGGTGCTAGTTACATGGGAATCAAATGATAAACCAACATCTAGGATTGCACCAAAGTTTTGAACTGTAGTTTTTGGTCTTACAAAAAAGCCTTCAAGCTCCAAGGTGAAATCAACAGACATAGTGCCCAACAACAGTACGAGCATATGAATAAAACCTCTTTGCTAATGTTCGAAAATGTTCTCTTAAAATGCCAGGCTCTCTAAATTCATGTACAAGAAATTCATGAACAAGAAAACAATACACTATTATAACCCAAGGAAGTTCTTTAACAGCACCACAAAAATAATGAACATCAGTAGCACTAACACTAACATTCCTCACAACGGAGTCACCAACAGTCAGCACCAAATTGCTGTTTGGGTCAGACTAAGTACTGCAACCTCGTCCTGAAGCTCATGATGCTCAGCCTCATTGTCATTCTCACTTACTTTAAGCCCTCTCAGACTGTTCGTATCACAAAAACT